ATTTATGTTTGTTCATGAGTTAATTATACATGTATTACAACAATTACGCTCTCTTATTCTGTCACGTCCGTCCACCAACAACATTTACCTCACACATCCCACAATCTCAAGCAAATTTTCAGAAAAGTCAATCCCCCACTGTCTTAATTTTTTTGGGGTCTGTTATCAAGAGTATTTACAACATTTTTAACATATTTGGATGTATGAAAGACGACTTTCAATTTTATGTTGAACTGGCCATCAAATTGGTACCCCAACCAAATTTTAGCAGTTATCTAACATGTAAAATAAATGTATTCAATATATTACTTACCATAAAAGATATGACTTAAAGATCCCCTAATATGCCATCAGGTGCACAGCTAATTAGCCATTATGAGCCCTTCAAAATCTCCCCTTCCTGACATCACAAGGGGGAGTGACCACCCAGAATAATAAAATCTGATTGACTGCTTGGCTGAAGTTGATCAGTTCTTCTTGCCTCTGGTTGGTTACTTCCCCATGTGATGTCAAGAGGGGAAAATTTTTAAAACGGCTTGTAATAAGTAATTTGCTGTGCACCTGATGACATAATAGGGGACCTTTAATGATTAAATTGTCGAACCGTTTTTAAGCAGAGCAACCTGTTGGATCACCGTTTATCAAAAACCACAACTCTTTCAGAATAAAAAGTAGAAAATGTAATAAAAGTTGCAACAGAATATACTGTACATCCTTATAGACAAGGGTCTAATACCTTAAACGAGAATTAAACAGACTTGAACAATCAAAGATGAAGAAAAAGAAAAGACACCAAACCAAAGCTTGTACCTCCTGAAATTGTTCCAAGGAAAGCCAAAAATCAAAGTTTCAGAAACAAAAGACAGCTAGATCTTCAAATGAAAAAGGCAGATATTAATCCTCAAATCCACCACACAGATGTAAAAACTCCAAGTTGGTCTTAGTTTGAAAAAAGCCAGACCAAATAAGGCCCACATTTCTATGTGGTTAGAAACAGGGCAGAAGGGGGGCGAATCCCCCTTCTTGGTGATGAAAGCAGGCTGTGATGATTGGTGGAGCAGTGGATGTCTGAGGGTGTGAGAAATATCAAATTGTCTCCCATGAAACTGGCCCTTCATGTATTAAAATGCCCATTAGCTCTTAAGAGCAGAGCTGAGCAGAATGGAATTTTTTTACCAAAACATTCACTGATTTAGGCCTCGTCCACACGGAGACGGAGATTTTTGAAAACGGTCTTCTTTTTTGTCATTCCTGAAAAATCTCCAGTTCACACTGCATTGTTTCTAAAAATATCTGCGTCCACACGGAGACGCCTAAAAATGACCCAAAACGCTGTAGTAAATATTCCAGGCCTGTGTGTGGCGCTGTATGGCGCTGTAGCGTTTCTACGGAAATAGACCAAAAACGAAGAAGGCGGCTGCAAGCATGCGTATAAAGCTTATGGTTAGTTTGGCGGTGGGGGCTATCACGTCATCGTTTTCAAAAAACCCGTTTTGGTTGTCCACATGAAAACACTAGGGTGGCGTTTTCAGATTTTCTCACTCTGGAACCCGTTTTCAAAAAATACCATTTTTGGGCTGTGTTTTCACCGTCTCCGTGAGGACGCAAGGCCAAAACGATAAAATATTTATGCGTTTTCAAAAAAATCATTTTTTGGACGGGCCACATAGACTGTATAAAAAGATGGACGAAGCAATCGTGACGTCACCCATTGGTTTCAGCATACCATTGAGGAAGCCTCGATTTCGGCAAATTGAATTGTGCCATTTTGTCATTTTGAAACCGGATGTGATTCCTATTGGACGAGAGTGTGAATTGAATATCCTGGGAGGAGTGAGGGGTGGATCTACGTGTGGATCTGACCGTATCAGATAAGGACCAGAGGATAGCCACGCCCCTAAAGCATATACTGGCTTTATCCTTTATTCTAGTCTATTTGGTACCATAATTTACGAAAATCAACATCATAATATATGAAGGAGACTTGAAACTTGCGATAGATACAATAAAGTAATGTGGAAAATCATTATTTAAAGTATAAATCAGGTGGGAAAATACGGTCATTCTCTCATAGACTTCTATTGGATTGAACTTCTTTCTGCAACCACCGACATCGCCATCTGCTGGCAATTAAATAGAATGCAAATTTTGGAGATTTCCGCTTTGGCCTCAGTTTTCAGACCCCAGTGCGGCATCCATTTTTTTATACAGTCTATGACGGGCCCTTAGTCTCTTTCTAATGAGACCAAACATGAATATGGCAGGAGGTAATGAAGCTCAGTTATCAAATACCTCTGAAAAGTTTTACTACAGCTCCAAAAACATGTGATATGGGAAAATCTGGAGCAGTCTTCAGGGGTGCAAGACAAAAAAAAAAAAAAACTGAAAACAAAAAAAAAAGATAAAAAAGAAAACTGAATTAAACAAGAGTTATCAGAAGATGACATTTCTCCCTGGCTGAGTCCTTCTCCAGAAATGGTCCCCATACTCATTTTGTCTAAGTTAAAGTCACTTCCATGAAAACAAAAAACAGTAAAAGTCTCAGAAATCCAACAATATCAAAAGGCACCAGTCTAAGACCTGATAAACAGGCAAAGCAAGTTTAAAAAATATATATTGAACAGTATTCAAGTTCTGCTCCGGAAATTAAATGTTTACAGATGAACGGACGAATGGACAAACATACTGATGACTATATCCCTCCGCATTACATGCTGGGGGGATAATAAAAAGGAGACATGCTCTTATCTTGCTGGTGGTCAGAAGGCTATAACGATGGCGTTCTCTGTTTTTTTAGCAATTGGGGGGGTAATACTCGTACTGTATGACCCTCTGCTTGACTCTCGTGGCCCTAAAAGGGTCATCTTTGGAATGTGTGCACAAGGGCTAGAGATTGAACAGACTACACTCCTATAGTTAAGGGTGGACAGGACCTATCACCAGGGAATGCACAAGTCATTACTGATCAATTATTTTGTCCAACTCTGAAGCACAGTCAAAACCTCCAAAAGTAAACATTAGTTGCCTGACAAGGCTGTGCGTGAAAAGGAGGAACAGGACTATATGTTAGCTTAAATAACACTGCATTAGTTATAATGAACAAAATGCTGAAAATTCAGTTGAATCCAGACAGCAGTGACACTGCTATGATGCCATGTTTGTCCATGGCAGTGGTGTCCAATCATGTGCCACGAAACGCTGAAAGTATGAAGGTTTTAATTCCAACCAGCCACTACACCAACTGATTTGACTGATAGGTTTCCTTCTCTCAGCCTAAAGGTGTGCTACTCAGTGAAATTAGCTGGTCTAGTGATCGATTGGAATGAAAGCTTGCACACTCTAGACCAGGCATCCTCAATCTTATCCAGAAAGGGCCGGTTGGGTGCAAGCTTTCATTCCAGCCAATCGGGTATACCCCTGATTCTACTAGTCAAAAGCCTTATTCGACTGGGCTGTATGGTGCAGCACTGTGCCTTCAGTGCTGCACTTTTTGCAACTTTTTCTGTTCGACTGTTACAGCACCGTTTTCGGTGTTGCACTCGGTGTCACACTTTCTGCACCGATTTGAAACGGGTGCAGCTTCAGTGCACTGTGATCACGTGACCATTCGAAAACTGGAGGACACTCGCTCGGGTCAGAACTCCACGTGAGTTTTCAACAACTTTATCGTTTTCAGTATTTTTCTCACACGTTTTAAACAATCTGCCGAATGTATGGTGGCTCAGTGGATCTTTAGCCAAGTTTTGTTTCAGGTTTGGGCGACCTCAGTCACAAAGCCCCCCAAAGAACATGAACCTGCCATCGCAGTCATCGCATCATCATCACTCTCCTCCTCACTGCTCATTTCGTGCATTAAAACCACCATACACAACTGCTTTGGGTCGGCCATGTTCTTCGTATCACGTGATGATGCTACAGGGTGCTACACCAAGTGCTGATTCTATAGAGCAGTGTTTCCCAACCCTGTTCCTGGAGTACCCCTGCCCTGCATATTTCAGATGTCTCCTTGATTTAACACACCTGATTCAGCTGATCAGCTCATTAGTGGAGTACCTAATGACCTGATCTGGGTGTGTTAAATCAAGGAGACATCTGAAATATGCAGGGCAGGGGTACTCCAGGAACAGGGTTGGGAAACACTGCTATAGAATACTTAATTGATGACATCACGCTGGTGTCGGAAGCAAAATTTCCCATGCATTTTACCCATAGATGTTTTTTTACAGTTCACTTTTGAAGCACTTTCCGTTGTTTTCCAGCCTCCATCAATTTCGAGATTTTACGTCGTACTTCTGAGTAACAAAAAATGTTGTATTTCTTGACCAGAGTCAGCTACAATTTAAATCATTTTTCGCCACCATGCTAATCCTATTTGTAGTCTAAAAACTACACGTTCCATGATCCTCCTGATTCCTGGGCAGAAGGAGTTTATGCTGCATTCATGTGTTGTCGGGATATTCGGCAAAACGACTTTCCAACTGGGAAAATTCACATGAACGCCCCCTCATGTTGGAAAAACAACTCGGCATCTCGGTGATAATTTTGGTACACGAGTTGCCAACTTGACTTGATATAGACGTCACATTCACCGAAAAATGGCGGATGAAAACCAGTGTGTAGTTCATTTTTAAGCAAATACGGACGTTTTTCTGATTAAAATACATATGTATGAAATTAATCATATTTCATGGCTCACCTGATCCGTTTCGGTTGTTCTTCAGTATCACGAAAAAACTGGAAACAGCTGTCAGTGTTTTCTTTAATGCAGTGTCTTCAGATACGGCAGTTTTTATTAGTACAGCCGTCGATTTGACGGGATTAGGATAAGGATTAGGGATTACGGTTAGGGGAAGGGTTAGGTTAGGGGTCAGGGTTAGGGGCAGGGTTTGAAATGGGGACTGCCGTACCTCTCTACATTGAAATGCATTGGAAAACTGCCGTACCCCTAGCAGCTGCCTTTCTGTCAACGCTCTGAGCATTAAAGTACAACTTAGCTGGGCGCCCCGGTGGCTCATCGGTCTAAGTGCGCGTACCATAAAGGCTGTGTCCTGGGTTCGAATCCGACTCGGGTCATTTGCTGCATGTCATCCCCCATTCCTCTCCCCAACTTCCCTGTCTCTCTACACCGTATAACTATCATATAAAGGAAAAAATTCCCCAAAAAAATCTTTAAAATACAACTCAGCTTCTTTGCAGCATCCATGTTTTTCCCACATTACGACTTCAAAGCACATGAACACAACAAAGTCGGAAGAACGACTTGCCAACTTGGGAACTCCGACCTTCCAACATCACATGAATGCAGCATTAAGATGCGTAACAAATTACCTGCACCATGCCAATTGCCATAACTATTTGTTTGCTTAGCTTGGTGAGACTGTGAATTCGTCAGCCACTCTACGCTCTACTTAGTTATATTTACTTGATCGATATCAAGTTTTACAACTAGCACCGATTTACTTTAATAGCCCAGCATCTTTGGCCATTGTTTGTTTGGTTAAAAACTCGCTAGCTAGCTAGCGAATGAGCTAATCAGCTTTGTCAACGCATAACTGACCGAGCTACGTAGCTAATTCAGGTGTGCTTGCTCATCTAACGCTAGTTAAGTGCCGAAATAATCGCAATTCATTGTTTTTAGCAATTAATATTCACCATGTGAGGCAAGCCGAGCAAGCAAACTGACTTTTAGCTGGCTAACTTAGTCAGCGAGCTAGTTTACCGACTTCGGTGGCTGACTAATGTCATATTAGGTGGCAATATGTAAATGCCAACTCGCAAAATGTTCCCGGCTCGACGCTCGCTAAATAGCCAAATAATGGCTTTTCACCATTTTTATTGACTTAACTAGCTAAACTAGCAATTTCGCTACCTTAGCCATTTATAGTTGGTGTATTTTAATGCTAGCTAGCTTGCAAAATGACAGTAAGTGATATTAAACTAACCATTTACTGTTTCTATTGATTTAGCAATGTGCACAAGATGTAATGAGCTCACTAGCTGACTAGCTAGGTGGTTCGCTACCGTAGCTAAATGCTAGCTAGCTAAATGGCGAAATAACTCATCATGATCCATTCATTTCTAGCCATGTCGCTAGCTAATGGTGGCCCCCTATGTGGTAATGGATGCACGGACATAGACAACAGCAATTTAAGGCACTGATCGGCTACCGTACCGTCGTTGTACGTTGTGAATGTTTGCGGAAACTGAGGTACCCCATTGGCTGGGAACAAATCACGGGGTACTCGCCAGCTTATGCAACGGATATGTAGTTCGCAGAAGTGGACTACAAACTGGACAACAGGTGCAAAAGCATATAATTTTTGGCAATAAATAACGAATTTGATGTGATCATTTGTATCTGTATACCCCATAGGCTAATCTCGGAGTGAGGCGGCTCATAAAATTGATACGAGTTCGAGCAATGCCAGAAAGTGTCCAAACCCCATCATAAATTCGCGTAGGGATTTTACTTCCGACACCAGAAGCTAAGTCGCTGTGACGTCATCACTTTAGTACGACCAGTCGCTCTCGGTGCAGCACGTTTTGTTCATTGCGCAGGTGGGCATGGCCTAGACGGTGCAGCACCATGACAGACCAGTCAAATACGGCTAATGTAGTGGTTCTCAAACTCGGTCCGGGCGCCCCACTGTGTATGCTGGTTTTTGTTCCAACCACAGTTGCAATCTTAGGATTTTAACAAGCTGTTGATTTGTTTTAATTAGGTGCATTTATGCTAATATCCACATTGAGATATATTGCAATTATCTGCAGAGGGAAACAATTTAACCAAACATTTAATCAACATAAACAATCAATAGGTTCCTCATTGGTGAAACTCTTGACACATGTTGGCAAAACCCAACAATTTACTTGGCAAACAATGGAGTCACACCTGTTGTGTTTTGTGTTGATTTTATTTGGTTCAGGCAGGTTATTTGGGAAAAACTCTAAACAACTGTGTTCAGAGACCTAATTTGGAGCTTACTGATTTTCTCAGAGTCTAATTTGATCTGTTTAGAAATGTTTTCACCTGAAAATCCTAACAATATTGAAAATTAAGCACAACATGTTCAAAGGTTTTTATTCTTCATGGCAGAATGGATATGTCCATCAAAATGTGACTTAAAATGGTAAACAACTACTCTAAACATGGAATGCTGCTAATTAAGACAAAGTAACAGCTTTTTAAAATTCTAGAATTGCAATTGTGGCTGGAACAAAAACCAGCATACACAGTGGGGCGCCAGGACCGAGTTTGAGAACCACTGGGCTAAAGACTATAGCTAAGACTGTAGGGGCTGATTAGAGCAATCAGGTGTGTAACCGCTGCCTGGAATGAAAGCCTGAACCCCCATCCACCCTTTCTGGACAAGACTGAGGATGCTTGCTCAAGACCCTCCATTGCTACATTCACATTACCAGACTAAAAGTACAATATAGCAAGCACCTCCGCTCCAGATCTGCCCAGGCTCTGAGCCGGTCAGCTGGAGTCGGCACAGAGCCGGGGCAGATCCGGAGCGGAGGTGCTTGCTATCTGCATTATTGCTCTCTCACAGTTATGGCGTTTTTTGTTTGCGGATGACGCAGTAACTCGTGCAAATCCGAATGCCTGACGTTTGGAGGGCAGATGCGTTCAGATTTCAGGTAGATGCAGGCCACTTGTAATTATGAATGTTAACCGTCAAGACTGGCAAATTTATCTGAGCAAAAAACCGGAACCGAATAACAAGACTTATAATGTGAACGTAGCGCATGATAGGCCTATATATAGGGCACCACTGGCCTGTGTTTTAAAGAAATTCACCTGTTGCCATAAAATCGCTTTGCTATTACGAAATTATGCATTTTACAATGGTTAAATCACATACGAGCAGGGTAATAATAATAATAATAATAATACGCTATTATTAGTGCGTAAACTTTACAAATAATAGCAAGGGGGTTTCATCGTCCTTTAGCGTGCATTTGCATCATTAGCTCTCACCTGCATTATTTATTACGATCAGGCGATCTATGTCCACGTGACTCGTCTGTTTCGCTGCCTTAACTAAGTTCTCCACAGCTCCTTTCTGTGCAAGATCAGCCGTCACACAGCGTATGACCAGCCCTTTCTGGCCAGCGTCCGTTGCGGCTATTTCTGCCTGCAGTTCCTTCAGTTTATCGCCCGATCGGGCCGCAACCAGTAGTGCCGACCCAGGTTTCAGCAGCTCAGCTATTAGCTTCGCCAGGCATCGGCCGAAGCCTCTCGACGCTCCGGTGATGACGCAGAGCGCTCTTCCAAAATCTCTCGGACACGACACTCCGTTCGATTCCATTTCTACACCATCCGTAGCTGCAGTACAACAGCAAATACGCTGAATTATGTCTGTTGTGCATGTGGATGCCGGGGGAACCGCGTCCAATCACATCAGAGCCTTGAAATACCTTTTGACTCCACCTCCTGAAAGGGGCCAACAATATGTAACAGCCATGACTCCTTGCTGATGTTGAGGTTGCGAAACATTTCATTCCACTTTCTAAGTACTGCGTTTCTTGCAGAAACGAGTTAAAGAACAACACAATGTTAGAAGTCTTCAAAAAAAAAAAAATCTTTGGCTTTGCTGAAAATTTGTATGGGAGAGGCAATGTCAGTATGGATGTAACATCGGCGAAATTTATGGGAACTGTTCAACTTTTATTCAGCAAACACGGAAGCAAAAGCAAAAAGCCAGATGAGACAGTAACAGTGTTGGGGTAGTTACTCTAAAAAAGTAATGCATTGCAAAATAGTAGTCACTTAAAAAAGTAATCCCTTACTTTACTTAAATACTCACTGCTGAAAGTAAACAGTGAGACTACTGGTCACAATACTTGTGGATTCATCATCTGAAATTGACCATAACTTAATTAATTAACCATATCATGTTAAAACCTGACATATGCCCAGATCAGTATAAATCTTTATTCTAGTAGATACACACAAGATCTCTCTTTCATGCTCTTTAATACAGCAAAGCCAGTAGTGAAGTTGTACAAATCAGCCCAAACAGCACTTCACAGAAAAGTGAGTCAAGTAGGCTACAGTGCTGGCATAAACACGCATAAAAAAGGATGTTTGATTTGTTTTTATGTCCTCGGTCTCAATCGCCAATGTACTCAAAAGGAAGCAGAAGAAAAAGACGTTTTTCTGGCCTCCCGTCCTGCCGATAGTTGAAGAATTGAAAGTAATGCAAGTAACTAGATCATTTATTTGTAAGTAACTGTAATTCAATTACTTAGCTTATCAAAGTAATGCATTACATTACTGCATCACTGATAAATGTGATCTGATTACAGTAATAAGTTACTTTGTCATGCGTAACCCCCAACACTGCGCATTAATATAAAGATTAATATAAAGGTTCACAGATCCACTGTTGTAACAACTTTATTACTCATTGGATTTAGAATAGTCATATTTTGTCAGGTTTCAAGCACAAAGATAAAATATTTCTATTGATAAATTTTGGCTTATATGTGCAATTTGGCTAAAATAAGAGTATGATTAAATGCTGTTTTTCCTTGTCTCAGCTACAATGATTGAAACCAAATAATGCATCTTGAAAACAAAGATGAAAATCGGAATTAATATGATCTATGATAAATACACTCTTTTTTGACCAAAGAGACTGTGAAAAATAAATGAAATACAATTTCTGTGAATAAGTCACAAAATGAACTATTTACATCAGGATTACCTTTAAATCTTTTAGGTTATGATTTCTGGGGCATTTCAATGCTGAAGTTCAAAATCTTTTTTCCTATTCAGATCCATAACTTGACTGTTCCAATTGGCTATTACATATGGATTATGGAAACAATGAAAATCCTTTTGAAATGTGTAATGTCCTGGCACCCAAAGATGCAGCAGGAAAATGATGGAATATGAGGACTCAAGTGCTGGGATGTGATACTAAATAAAGAAAGGTGACATAAAACTAATACAGACACTCCAGTGACAACAAAAAGGGAGTGCACTTAACAAACGGGTGTTTCACATTAAGGGTATCTGCCTGTGAGGGGAAGAACTAAGGTTTAAATGGGCAGGGAATGCT